TAAACAACCAACACAAAATACACCACCGACTCAGAAACACCTCAAGGTTGTTTTCAGCAATCGCAGACTCAAATTTAGTGCACTTTTTTATTTAGCTTAAGTAATAAGATCCAATGTTGCCAGTTTTGAACACCTTTAAATCGGTGGTTTACTTAAAGACAATTGTGTGGTTTTTCTTCGTCCTTCTACGGATAACGGCTGGGAGTCTTTGGAAGGTAAAAGTGTTATCTTGGCTTACAGGAGGATTACATGATACTCTCTACCGGTCCGGACGTCTATCAAGGCCTTTCAATCTTTATCCAATTTTTACGAAACTCAAATGTTTACCATCTCCTTGTGCGACTCGTCACCCCCGATTCCACGTACCAAGTCTTTGCCACGGATTTTGCGGAAAGCGATGAATGGGTTAATGTTGGTATTGTCGTAGCTGGAGCGAAAACATCGGCAGGGGTGTGCGTTGAGGTGTACAAAAATGGTCATGCACTAATGGCGACTAGTTTACCGATTTTACGAGATTTTTCTAATCGTTATGGTGCTAATCCTAGTCCTGGAATCTACCTCGGCTCTGCCATCACTACAATGTCCAACATGTCCACAGCTTCAATCGCTTCTGGAACAATCAGTTCGCTTGGTAAGTCCAATAGCAACATTTTTGCGTGAAAATGAGTCTCTTGTAAGCCTTACAATCAGTTTGATTAATTCAAAGTCATGAGAATTTATTAATGTGTACAAATTTATCATTTTGTAGTTTTTTGGTCAAAACGGGTTGCCTCGTGCAGCAGTCCACGTTCGAGCTACATGACCCTCAGGGGGAATTGCTTCTCTAACGAATCCCTTCCTGAGAAGACAACCTGTCAAGACGCTCCAAATTGTCAACTCTCACAAAATGGTGTTTGTCTGGACACCACTGTGGTAGGCTCATTTTTTTAAAAATTTATATCAAAATGAAATGGTATGTGTTGAAATGTTCTGCTTGATAGGAGAACATATACGCCATGGCTAAAGGCGCTCATCTTATCTCTTCTCCAAAGGCCCTACTTTCTCTCCTCGAAATTGTATTAGCATTTCTTAAAAACGATACAGAAAAATATTATTTGGAATATGAAAAGCGAATTCTTTGGTCATCAGTCGTCCTATTCAATCGGTTGAGTGTTGTTGAGGAAGCCAATGCATTTGAGGTGGAGAGCCTTCGTTCGAAAACGGATACGATTTTGGCCTTCCTTCTAGATTACTTGGAGGCATTGTTTTTAACCCGATTTTCAAAATCTTGGTCCGAACTTTGTGGAAGTTTTTCATCTAAGCCGCCTGAGATTGTTGCTACACTGTCAACTATGATCAAGGTTTTGCTGACTGATGATCGACCGGTGATAGAGAGCAGTCTTGGAAGGAACTACTTAGCCGGCTACATAGAACTCACAATTCCTTCTGCTTTGAACAATGATGTGCCAGTTAAGGTCATAAATCCATCTCTCATTAGGCAAAGTGGTAGCACGAATTTACTTGGAACCCTTACAGTTTCGGTGCTAAGTGCATCGACCTCTGCAATAACACTGGATGTGCTCTCGGTGCCCAAAGAATTCGAGTTGTCAGAAAATCATTCCCTTTCACTTGGAGATGGCAAGAGGAAATCGGAAGTTATATTAGCTTTGATTAATTCACCCATAATGACAACTTCTCTTGTACCAACAAGCGAACAGCAGGACGAATCAGGAGCGGTCTTTCTGTATACCCTCGCGCTTATTCGACCGAATGAGTTCTCGGCCTCAGCAGAAGCTCGACGATCTGATGCGCTGCATTGGAAGGCACGCAGAGTGGAGGAGGAGGGACTCGGTGCATTGGAATATGCTGTGAAGTGTGTCTTCTGGGACGATAGTGATATCGGTGCGGAGGGCTGGAAGGCTCATTACTGCGATGTTGCAGAAGCTCACTTATCTTATGTAGTCTGTCGGTGTAATAGGACAGGATCACTTGCTGTTGCAATGGAATATACCGAAGACGATAAACCTTTTTGGAGAATGGCTGGATCCAGCAGTTTACAGGCTTATAGAACCGCAAAATTAGCAATCAACTTGACTGGCAACTTATTGTCCATCACAGCTCTAACGGCACTGGCTGCTTATCTTTGTCGAAAAAATACTCTTCCCGAGTTGCTTGATCAGACCAAAATTAAGCTACATTTTGTAGCATCTTTGCTTTGCTATCACATTTCTTTCGTACTCTTTCCTTTATTGGAAGGAAGTGAAATGGGCTGTTGTGCTGTCGGGCTTTTGGAGCATTTCTTCTCCAGCACATCACTTGCATGGCAATGCTGTAACAATTTCTACACCTTTAATGCTCTAATCAACGGAGACACAAGAGCGCGAATCAAGTTGTCCATCTTCGTTGGCTGGGTGACAAATGCGGTGATCGTGGCGGTGATAGGATGCGCCACTTCTGCCAGCGAGTATGGGTTGGGGCTTATGTGTTTGCCAACGGCTATTTCCGGTTATATTGCTACTGCTGAATGTGGTCTTTTCCTACTCGTATCTCTTATCTCCTGCATCATTCTCCTATGCAACATCGATGCGCCCGCCTACTTAAATCCACGCGTGATTGAAGCTTTACAGTGAGTAACGCCGAAAGAAACTTTTTGAATATTTTTACCACCGATAAACAGACTGTCAATGCCTCCGCCTTAGTTGTTTGCGCTTTGGGAGACTGAGTTGTTTATTTCTGTCTCGTATCAAATTAAGTGCTTTGATATGACAAGCTAGAGAGGCTTGAGCCATTACTACCTAGCCACTTTTGGTTGCCAATCCTACGCAGTCTTGTGAGTGAGTTCCCTTTGCAGTCACCTGGTCCACTGCTTATACCCTTACCTTCAAATGTGTCCATCTTCTTCAGAAATGACATGCGTACCACCACAGCAGCCTCAATCTACAGCGCTTTGGTCTACGGACTTGGGATAGTATTCGTCTTTTTCAATCTCCCCTATTCCGCCTTCGCCTTCTGGATACTGAATTCCCTAACCGTGAGTTTGTACTCCTTTTCATTGACACCTACTTAAGTCTGGTGACACCTTTCGACAAACTCTGCACCAAGCCTTTGCGAAAACAACAAGCATTAGCCTTCGATGATTTGCGCCAGACAAAGTAGGTAACTGTTCTCAACTGACACTTTTGTGCAAACCTATTATTGTTGAGGTCTTAACGGTTGTAGAAGCGAGGCGATTAGTTCGACGCATTTCCACACAAGGGAGGGGCAATGCGGCCCATCCACCTCGTTTACCAAACAAATCCGAACTTTG